TCTTAAATGAACTGCAGTTTCTGCTACACACTAACAAAATTGTGACCTCCAAAGTCACCAGTGGGGCTTTATAGATTTCAGTTTTTATGCTAACCTGAAGAGAAATCTTCTATATTCTGCCCTGAGACAAAACAGTTCAGAAAAAAGTACTTAAGAGGAAAAGCCAAGAACTGCCTCACAAGCAGAAATCTGTATCACAGATTTTCTACAATCAATGACTAATAGATAGCTACAGCTTTTTAGAGTAAAGCATATCCCGCAACACAGAATATGCTCGAGTGTGCGAGCCAACATTAACTGCCAAGAAGCAGCAGCAAAGAGAAGCCCAGAGAGAGATGGGAGACGGCCCTGGTAATGATGGAGGAGGCAACAGCAACCAACAGGCTAACAGTGGCTGGAGGAGGTGGAACCTATGAGGCTTCTGCTTCCTTTGACTTATGGTGTTTAAGGCTTTTGCTGCTTAACTCCAGTCAATTGTTGGGCCGTGACTCAAATACATCTATGCTGCTTGTAAAGATAAGAAAGAAAATCATTTTGTTTCTGGATAAAGTGAACTGTGTCGGGAAAACGCAGTTCAGGGGAATAAAGTGTACGTTAGTGTGGATTTAAATGGAAATTTGTTTGTTTTACACAAATGTGGCTTAAACAAGCATGTGAAAAGAAAGTGATAAAAACCCTGCAGTGAATTTTATTACGTATGCTAGTTCCAATAAGAAAATCGAGACATAAAACAGATCACTTTTCACATCCTTTCATAATTTAATTATAAAAGAAAACTTCAAGCATATTGAATTTCATGCTTTTTCCCTCTGATGTTTTCCAGCAGTCACAATACAGATTCTACACTGCCTTATTAAATATTCAATATCCGAAACGCCAGATCAATCAGGCCTGCTTACCGCACGCCACTGACATTGCTGAGGAAATTTCTTCATTTGGTGGCACAATCAATAGCTCATTACTGCAGCTTTACACTGTGTTGTCTCTGGGCAGGCCCTCTGGCTTCATTCCAGGCCTATCTGATCTGTCCATCTTCATCACGCAACACAGAGAAACAGCCTCCTGCTGAACAACAATTACACTCTTAACCTCACACCAACTTATCGCTCTGTAAGTTGAGTTTTTTATGAGATGGAGTGTGATGAGGCTTTATGATCGTGTGCGTATTTGAGCAGTGATATGTATATAATGCATCACATCCTTTTGATTTCACGCGCGCCAAGCGAGCAGGCCAGAAATAAGAATTAAGTACGCAAACGTGGAAAGGCAAGCTTTCACACAAAACATCAGTTCTCTGCTTCGAACACACAAAACCACAAACACCGGTAAGGCAACACGATGGGGAGCAACAAACAAAGACATTTTTTCGAAATCGCTTCCTTACAAAGCTTTTTCCCTGCGCTCAAAATCTGCACCATTATACTCGAAATGCCTTTCGCTCACTAACAAAAGTGAGCTATTACTTTTTTAATTCAACCGTGAAATGACAGAAGCACTCATCATAATAGCGTTAAAGCTCGCCTCCTTGGTGTCACACAGAACGCGGTGATGTGCTGAACCGAACTTCCCGTCTGTGGAATAATTTCATGGTCATCTCTAATAATTATACAAAGACCAAGTGAGTGACAGTGCAAGCCTGCCATACTTGTGGCACTCAAACCCTGCACAAACAAGTACCCCAGTATGGATATATGAATGATGAATGGTTGGCAGGAACCCACTCTCAGCTCTGAAAGTTTCTGACTGCAGAACAAGGGCACCTTTGGTTGCCTCTGGATCAGCGTGAGGCTCCTTCACCCTCGCACTCTTGCTACTATCTCAAATTGCAGATGACATCCTCCAGGAAAGACACGTGATAATAACGTGCACAGCTGCAGTTATTCACAACTATGCGATTAGAGGGAAATGAAAGTTGATCTGCGGGGAAAGGAGCTGAAGAAAAACATGGAGGAGAAAAGAGCAACAGCAGCGAAGGAGCAGAAAGGAGACGCACAGGACGAGCGACCTCTGGCACCGAGGCCGCCGGCGCGCGGCACACTCAAAATTAGTGTTTTACTGAGATTACAGACTCCTTTCTTTTTTCTCTCTCTGGTGCTGCTTGTTTAGGCTCATTGCTTTGCTTCTTCTGTGCTGCTGCGCTGGCAGTCATCGCCTGGATGCAAAGTGAGGCCAGTGCCTTCACATAAACAAGCCGAGCGCTGCCACAGCGCATTAGTCACAGCTCAGGTCTGGCCTTTTCAAAGTCGCTACTCCTACTCAAACTGCTAATAGAGCCCCAGAATTTGATATTAGCCTAGCAGGGATACATCCATCAGCGAAGCTGTGCGAGTGCCCTCATGTGCGGCTAACAGGGTGGTTTTTGAGAATTAAAGCGAGAAGAGCGGCGAGCATCAGGACCGAAAGTTTCTTAAGGCCCCCCCTGCTTTATTCCCCCTCTTCTTTCTGCACTAATGACACAACACACACAGAGCAGGCAAGCAATTCATTAAAAAAACTACCCTTATATAATGAGCAGCCTCAGCAATGTGACCATAAGCTGATATTTTTTCACTATAGGGCCTATTACAAAGCCACTGCTGATGGAGCCGGTGCATTTGAGGACATTTGCAAACAGGGCGAACACAATGCCTGTGGAATATGCAGACTTATTAAAGTCTCTGCACAGCCCCTCGCACCCTTGGACATTAAACAGCAGTTTGTGGGGGAAGCTTCTGTCAGAGTCTCCTGGCTCACAATCAGCACCGTTCCTCTTCCTGTAACATCAAATTACCCGTGGCTGAGATATCCCAGCTCTTTCCCTCTCTTCCTTTTATTTCCTCCCACTGTGTTGGGTTTATAGGCAGCAGTCCGGCAGGGGTAATTTCTGCTACCACTCCAGGGAAATTACTTTGTGTTGTTAGAGAAAAGGCAGTTTGCGAACTGCTTTATCAAGCTCCCCGTCTCAAGTAACAGTCAACATTTCAACGCAAGGAAGAAATACAGCCTCAGCATATCTGCGCTTATAAGTGCGCTAAGTGGCATCAGTGCAAAGGCAAGAGTAGTCACCGTGGGTGTGTGTGTGATGTTTTGGATAGGCATATGTGCATCCAACTGTGCATTTGTTTCTGCAGGACTGCTTTCATTGCCCGTACATCCTCGCACACATATCTGCTCTGCTCCTCTACGCCGAGCGGTTCAGCTGTGCCTTACTTGGACTGATGAATAATTTCTGCACTGTGCTCTGCTGTGGCACGTCTGGTGCAGCCTGACTGCACCACACAGCTACAGCTCCGCATTTGCATTCAAAACGCACACACTCACACTTTTACACTGATGAGCACCAAGCATGCGCCCGCCGTCCCGACACCGTCCATTCTGCCAGACGCTTCCCTGTGTGGAGGATGCAACAAGCCGCTAAAAAAACAAACAAAAACAAAAAAAGAGCAACAGCAGTTTTCTATTACTCAGTGTCATCTTGCTTCTGCTTCCAGAGTTTACGAAAATTGCTCAGTGACGCGCCAACAAACTGGACAAAGAGCCAAGCAAGGAAAAATCCGCCAATTCCAAAACTCTCACCTGAGGTTGACTTTAAAAATCTTAACTCTGGATTTGTGGCATTTAAATTCAAGGCCGGTACTGAAATGTCAGCTCTATTTTGAAGTGGCAGACATGCTGATGTGGTGACCTCTATGTGCTGTGGCTAAAAGGTTGGGGGGCTGCAGGGCAAATGAGCAGGGGGTATAAGCTTACTTCTGAGTGAAAAGGAAGGGGCAGTCTTGGATTGTGGTTTCCAGTCTTGCTCATGCCTCTAAAGTCACATTTTAAAGCTGGACGTCTCTAATTATCCGACGCTGCTGTAAAATATCTAATCACTAATTAAAATGTCATTTAAAACACCTCTGTTCAAGTCTTTAAAAAAGGCTGTAATCTGCATAACACAACAACAACGTCGCTACTGTGTGTGCCTCCAAGTACAGCAGGTTGTGCATCTGTAAGCAGCTTAATAAAGGGAAACCACAAGCAGCAGCGCCAGTGGTGTGTGCAACCGAACACCTCCTACTGTCTCTGGGTCTATCTGGAAGACCTCCAGGTGCTGCGCTCCTTCATCTATCCGAGACTAGCGGGGAATTTTTCGGGTATGATATGCCTCTCGGTGCGTTTTTCCGTGGATGAGCGGGTTGTGTCAACATCTATCATTGTCAGCAGTAGAAAGCGTTCCTCTCAGTCCAAACACAGCTAGATATTTACGAGCTTAAACACCCATCCTCAGCTAGAGAAATCCATTTCCACTAAGTGGCAAATATTTCCACTGTAGTGCGGAGCTAGAGCCAAGGAGAGAAAATAGTCTTCAGCCCGTTTAATCCTAATCACACACTATTTAATGAGCATACAATACTGTCTGTTTATGTTAGCTTTGTCTCTGACAGCGTTGGTAATCTGGGCTGGCTGCAGTGAGACTGTGATTATTGCAAAGATGCTCCTTCTTAGTTCATTTGCATAGACCTTTGCTGCTGCACAGGAACCCTGGGGCGACTGTCTGGACAGGCAGTGTAGGCTGCCAGGCTACCACGTTAGTGCATTATACAGCACACTGGTTCAGAGGTCCATTTTTTTCTCTTCAAAAACAAGTCAATTGACGCTGACAGAACAATGAAGCCTCTTGATTCAGTGAGCCATTTTCAGTTGGATCGCAGAGCTCGAACTGCCAAACTGTTACCACATAATGATAACAGGTAAGTTTGTCAGCAGAAGAGGGGAAAATACCGCTGTGAACTTCTTAGCGGCAGAGATTGTACCAAACACAATAGCTGTCAGTGAACGATGCGCAAAACAATAGGGCACTGTCAACGCCTGTGAGATGTGCAAAGGGAGAGGGTTATCGAAAGCTACATGACAGAATAACATCTGTCAGTAAATCAAAGTGGCAGCCAATCGACAGGAATCATCTCTCACACACTCACACACAGAGCTACACATATTCCCACAGCCATCAGAGCAGCGCTTACAAGTAATGTACTTACAGTTCTGAGGAACTGGATCTCATCCTCTCCTTCTCCACCTTCAGCCATGGCTGCAAAGGAGCCTGTTCAGACTCCGCTGGCTGCCTTCTCCTGTCGAAATTAGCATATAGCTAATCCACGGCCATACAGCGGGAGACTACCGCAGCATGTGTCACTCAAAAACCCCTGCGCTCACGCCCCTGTGCTCGCCGCCCGGAGGAGGAGTGTGTGTCAGCATCGGAGGGCTGGAGCAACTGGGGACGGGTGCGTGGCGGGGAAACGGGGAGAAGACGAGTCCTGTAGCAAAAGATGCTGGAGAGGGGGGGGTATGTGTCTTCGACGTCACCGTCAGACCTTATTAGCACAAGCGGGAATATTCAAAAAATCGACACGCGCTTTCCGTCTAAAGCTAATTTCTTTCCCGACACGCATGCTAAAGCGTGGGGTATAGCGCGCCCTCCCACCACGGCGCACGCAAGAAATTCACGCTAGCTGCCATTTCCAGATCAGCACCATGGTCAGCACCCCACTACCCGCACAGGCTTTCAGTGTGGAGGGTCCTGCACTCACCCTGCAGAGGACGGGGTTTTATTTATTTATTTGTTTTCCTTTTTTTCTATTTTTTATGTTGCCGATCATTTCTAAATGTTTGAGGAAGTGTGGATATGACTATTGTATAGAAAATATGTCACTGCTACCGCTGAAGTGCAAACGTCCAAATCAGCCTGAATCTAGAACAACGTTCCCTCATTTGCTATGACGTCTTAACAGAGCTCTTTTTTTATTATTACAAAAAAGGGGGGGGGTTCTTGCACAACTACTACCTCACTTGTAAATTATTTATCAGATATTTGATTAACTCAATTACATATTAATGAATGCAAAGTAAGACTCTTCACTTATAATGTGTGACAGCGGTCGTTCTGGTGACCCAAAGGTTGGTCATAAGCATAATGAAGCTCGCTCATCTCCATAACTACAGCGAATAAACACGCAGGCGCCCCAACACGATCAGATGCTGCCCTCTAGCGTCAGTGCGCCAAACTGCTAAGACCAGCTCTACATGGCGTCCTTCCACCATTCATTGCACCATATATACTTAGTTACTTTATTCCTCATCTTATTCTTCCTGTGATGTTTTAAAAAGTACATCCGAAGGATTAAGTAATATTTCAAAGTTATGCAGAAGTATTTGTATTAGCATTAATATAATCAAGCATGATCATATTAACGCCCATTTAAGTTTTTAATGATAAACCTTAAAATCGTTGGATACAAACAGTTGTAGAAACAGCCATTCTGCAGTTCTCCAGTTTCCCAACAATGCAAATCTAACTCGCAACAAATGCAAATGTCCAAACGCGCCTGTTTCTCACCGCGACAACCCATTTAGACGACACAGGAAATGTGAGAGAGCACATTACTTTATCCAGAAGGATGGCAGCTTTCAAAACGGTAGTTATTGGACATAAGTCCGACTCTAAACATGTTCGACCGAGGCTACGACACTTGTTCTAATTATGTGTTTATTATCAGAATCTTGGCTTGTTTTGGTGTTTGAATAGAAATTTTACGAAATGGCTTTCCCCGTGCATGCATGGACTTCCGTGGCCATTTATTTGCGTAGGTCCCAGACTATTTACGCTGAAAACACTTGTCTTGCTCTATCCCAGTTGTAATAGGTTAAAGAAGGCATCCTGGACATGCCGCTTAGAATATAATTTAATATAAATTTTGAATATTCTATCTAATTTTATACACACACTTTTGTCATATATATAAAATTTCATTAATTTTTTTCACAGTTGGCCACCCGGTGTCACTGTTTTGTAAATATTAGTTAAGTCATTCAAAGGCCAATTGCGACGCTTTCGCTTATTTTTCTACAAAGTTATCCGAGAAAACAGTAGCATTTGTTGCCAACGTTGCCATAGCTGAAGCACAGCCACACTTTATTTATTCCCCGTCCGAAGTACACACCGAACCCATCACATGGCCTACCTGCAAGCCGCAGCTGCACTGACTCAAAATGTGGGCTGTGGATAAACACTAAGGCACCAATCACAGAGCAGAGAGCCAGCGGCGCCTCTCCCTATTGGACTAAACGGAAGTCCATCAGGACTGTCGAGCCGGAGAAGCAGCGGTGAGCACTCGGCACTGGCTGGCTGCACCGCAGAAGATGTGAAGAAATATTTGCCATGCCACTAAAACGGGTAAGTAACTATTTATCTTTTAGCATCTGCTTCAACCCTCAGCAGGTGCTGTTGGTTGCAGCGCACTTTCAGCTTCTGGTTAACGATAATTAAACGTCACCGAAGCTCTTATGAAGAAGATTCGCTTTAAAAAAATGTAGTTCAGGATAATTCAAATTCAAATGTAACTAAATGTTCGCTGGTTTTCACTTGTAAGTGGGCAGCTGTAACCCGAAAGCCTTCAGGGCAGTGTAGTTACGCTGCCATCTTAACACTCGTGTTTTCCTGCAAGGTGACAGTAACCCATCGGATTATAATATCATATAAACTGCTGAGACATGAGGCGACATGCGGGGGCGAGCGTGTGGAAGCCCGTTTTGCTTGTAAACATCTTTGCTGGCCGCCTGCTCGGGGCTCGGCGTGTGTCGTCACCTTGTGTGACACTAGCAAGGCTTTTTCTTTTCTTTTTTTTAAAAATGCGGCAGCTTGTGAAATGTTGATGAACTGCGGTGTAAAAATGTTTCATCCACTTACACAACAATGGACAGGAGGATGGAGGTGGAGCTGGGGTTAGGAGCTTTCTTCTTAAATGCATGATTGCTGGATTGTGTCCAGCTTTTAATGTGACATTGAAATATGGAAGCTTCCTGTTTGTGAAAGGACTGTTGTGATGTAGCCTACCCTAGCAGTGCCCTGTCTCAGATTAAAGGCTTTCATTTAGTTAAAGCTTTATCCTAAAGAAGAAAATAAAGTCTGGTATGTGGAGGTAATGTGTGTCTTTAGCAGGACAGGTATGTTACTTGAACATAAAGTGTCTATCCAAAAGCAGATTTATCACTCTGTGCTACTTTCTTTCTGACAGAATCTGGACAGACCAAGTGATGAATAGCCAGAGATCCTCGTCTGCAGTCCGAGCTGAGTCCGTCCGCATACTCGCAGTGCTTGAGTGATTAATATGGCACCCATCATGCAGGGCACCCACACTATATTGCTTCTGTATGCACCCATCCATGAGCTAAGCAACATCAGCCGTTATTTCCCCAAGAGGCGGGCCCCAAGTTTCGAGTACAAGAGCCGCGCCCCTCGTTCAGACAAGGCTGGTAATGACTGTGACCGAGGAAAGGAGGATCTTGCAGTGTCCAAACAAAGAGGCCAGTCTTCTGACTTTCCAGGCGAACTGCTCACCTCCCAGCAGGCAACAAAGAAAGCAGTTGCAGAGCTCTGCTGGCTGGTGGCGGAGCACCACCAGTTGCTGGCGCAGTTGTTATCACTGTGCAAGGATTGCAGGAACAAAGTCAGGATGGGTAACCAGGGTGGGAAACTCCAGGAGTACATGGAGGGTCAAGACGTTCATCTTGGCAGTCAGGTTCTCAGCGGCAGCATCTACTCCCTTAATCAGTCTCCAGAGCAGACGCGAGGTGTGCCTAAAAGTAAAAAGATGAAGAAGTTAGGGGGGAAGAAGCTTGACAGCGCAGAGAATTTCCTGCACAGTAAGATGAAGAAGAAAACTCCAGGTGGAGAGCCGTGTCTTGAGCTTCCAGCTGAGAAAAGTTTGTCTATATGTGCGGATTTGGAAGTGGAGCAGATGCCAGGTACCAAGGCTTCTGGCCATGTGTCTGAGAGCCCAATCGTTGGCTCTTGTGTCTGTCCGATCAGTAACCCCATCCTGCCAGTGGAGGAACCCTTCCAGATCACCCGTGAGGGCTGGGACTTCATGGAGGACAATCGCACATTTGACCCCGACATGGATTTTTGTTTCTCAGAGTGTGACGGAGAACTGGGTTACCAGTCATCTTCTTGCAGCCTAATGGAGGGTCTGACCCGGCGAGAAAGTGGGAGTAACCTTAGGCCGCTTAAAAGATTTGATTCTCCGGTTGACATGATAGTTGAGGATGCATCAGCAATCAAGTCAGCTCAACAGCTTTATAGTGAAATCAACCAGAGGAATGTTGGAGTCAGGGTTGTTGCCAGAGTGCAGGATGTAGAAGGGAGGGTGCAACATGTTAGTCACACAAGTCCAGACGGGGCTGTGCCACACCCTGAATCTAGCAAAGGCCAACAAGGCTATAAAGAGTGGAGAGGGCCAAACAGGGTCAGGGGGGAAAAGTCATGTAACAAACTCTCTGAGGGGCTGCGACTGCCCCTGTACAATACCACTGAGCCCTTGCCCAAATCCCACAAAAATAGCCCCTCTTCCCCTTCCCTCGCTGGGGTGTTCAGCACCTCCTTCCCAGCCTCCAACAGCCTCCAGAGCATGTCCCCAGTCCTGTCCCCTCTGTCTTCCAAACAGGAAAGCCCGCAACTCAATCACCGCATTGTACTCCTTTCAGATAAGGACACTGACCCTGATCAAGACAGCTCCAGTAACGCAGATGAACCCAAAATCTTCTCCGAGATCATAGACAAAAATGGCAATAAACGTGCCGTCACTCGGCTGGATCTGAACCTCAGCAGGCCGCCGAGCAACTGCAAGGGGAACTCCTCCAGCAATTCCACAACAACAGGTGAGCTGTCAGAAATCAAGCATTTAACGCAGCGATTCATGCTCAGACACCCTGCCTTGATGCAAATGCTTTTACTCGCTCAGTAGTTTAAAACCATTTTTTGTTAGAAGATGCCCTTCGACTGGCGCTGCAGACGCTAGATTTCAAAGAGCAGAACAACAAGAAGACACCTTGAAAGGCATTCTTTGTGCATCTGTAGCGGCACATGCAGTGCCTGAGATGTATGCTGAGTCAATCTGCAGCATTGTAACTGACAAACATCTTCCACACAGAGAGATGTATTTGCCATTCAGGCTGTTATCTAATAAACAGGCCAGGCTCTCTTAGTCCTCTTAGTTTGTGACTGCTGGGTTCTGCTTCGGGATTTGATGTGTGGCCACAAATTAAAACCTCCCCAACAGAGTTGTACACGGGGCAAGCTGGGCTCGAGAATAGTTTCACTAATGATCTATTTTAACTCTCTCAGCACTGTGGGGAAGATTAGTAAGAGTGTCCTGGATCAAAGGCATAAAGTTGACACAGAGTTCAACCTGAGCAGAGTTCTCACGAGTGTAGTAGTAACTCAAGCATTGCCAATTTGGATCAGGGATTCAGTAGGCAGGAAGGGCTACAGAAAACAGAATGGATTCGGGTTTCCTTATTTGTACATCCCATTTCCTCTTGTAATAATCTGTCTTCTTGTATGAGCTTCTGACAATGACGGAAATAATGGGATTGAAAACCCACGGCGTTCCCTGTGTAATCTTTGCAAAGCCGTACGTGGTATAAGCTGAGTTCAGTGATGTCAGTGTGACTGACGATTTCTCTCTCTTCCTCCAGCCTGTGTTTAGCTCTGTGGTCATGCTATTCTGTCACCGTTTACCCTCAGTGTGGGTTTCAGACCCAAGTTTATGCTGCTTTCAGTGATTCCATCTTATTAAATTTAGTATCTCTGTAACATGGTTAAAGAGCCCATTCAAAATCCTCACTCTAATCTCCAAAAGCAAACAGATGGCCTTCCATTGATTATTTAGTGCACTCGTGGACTGCAGGCAATATTTAGCTATTTTTATGTCGGTCTATGCAGCTACTTTGCCCACACTTCAGCGACAGTGCTGAATTTTTTTTTTTAAGGAACTTGGGGTCTTTGAGTTACATCACATACAGGCCAACAATGCTCATCTCGGTGGCTGATGGGAGAAAAGAGATGAGCTGGAGCCAAACTAAGGGGCAGATAGAGAAATAAATAGTCCAGAATAGCTCATGTGGAAGTGATTAGGATCAACACCCAGTGAAAGGAAGTTGTTTTATGTGCTTCCCTACGTAGCCACAATATAAAATGTATGAAATTTGACTGCCGTTATTTTCCTTTTTTTCCTGATCGGTTTTTATATTTCAAGCAGGTTTCCAAAGTAATATTGAAACCAAGACCTTGCATCATACTGTCCACGTGCTCCACAAGTCCCAAAGCGAAGGCTTTAATTTTAAATGAATTCCCTCTGCTGTTTACTCGATTGCCCTCTTGATAACTGAATACACTTTAGATGTTAACGCAGATAAATGAACATCACAGGGAACAGCCAAAAGGCGCTAAGTGGGTCAGTGTGGAGCCTGGACCTTCATGGTTTGCAAATGTCAAACTAATTATGATCTGGGCTCTTTAATCTGGCCCCTCTTATTGATGCTTTTGTTCTTATTAATGAGTGTGATCATGCGGGTGGTAATTTTAAAGTGACACATTCTATTGTTTACTTCATGTGCCAATGCTCATGCCCTGCAGTTTGGCTAATGTAATGCCTAATGCATTTACTAAGGTGCAAATTAGCTTTTCTCTGTGTGTTATCTTGGTGTTGACTTTCACCTCTTAATATTTTAAAAAGTACCTTCAGCCCTGATTCAGAAGAAAGTAGACTTTAGCTAGCTTAGCTGTCTGTGATTGGTTGCTGAGGTGGTTTGTAGAGCTTCTGCACTGCATCTGGGCAGAAATGATGAGCTGAGCTCGGACAATGATTTAAGTCTGCATAGAGCTGAGTATAACCACACTTCCAGTCACATCTCAGATATTTTTGTGATCCAGTTCTTGTTATGGCAGTATTGCTAATACATGATTATGCAGCTTTCAGCCTGTTTGGGGATTAATCTTTCTCTATACCCCACTCCCATCTTCAGTTCCCTTCCTCAATTCCTGTGACATATGGCAGCCAATACCATAATCTGATTACCCAATATGTTTTAGCAAGGTCATATGAAACTGAGCACGTATCACTGCTCCTAGCTGTCATTCAACTGGGCATGCATGACCATGCAGCATTGTTACACCCAATGAGGACAAGGGCCAGCTGTTTTCAGATAATGAAGTCTTCCTTGCATAGTTACTTTAAGCTGCATACCACATACAGGGAATCTGGGCACAAAGGTCTGTCTTATAAATTATAACTTGTCTGCTTTAATAAATGACAAGCCCACGCTAACAAGCGTTAGCCATGTTCCATCTTAATGCTTCTTGTTGCTTCTTACCATGTGAAGCTCTAACTGGCTTCCTCCTCAGTGTTTCTGCTATTTTAAAACCAACACTCGCTGGTGGGAGTTGACCAAATTCCCCATCTCCCAATTAGTGGCTTGCCAGGCACAATGAAAAGCACCCAGCTTCAGCAGAGCAATTACTGCATTTCAGTTGTGCAGTGCATGTCTCTGAGCATTGTGTCATGCTACATTTCTGCTTCAGCTCTAAGCCAGGACACTGCAGTAGTCCTCCCAGAGTTTTCTGCTTGTGGCCGTCTTTATGGTCTCTAATGCTGCCAAACCAATCAATCGGACATCCTGATGGCCATGTCCCGCCAATAGCCCGTGTAGAGGGGAGAAAAATGGCCGCGATGGGCAGAAAAGAGACCGGGTGATTTAAGAATCGTGAATTTTTCATGATTTATATAAAAGCCAATGATTCTCCTTCTTGGCTAAAAGTGATTGATGGGGGTGGAGGCTGCCAGATGTACTCACCATGCCATATGGCCCAGTTCTTTTTACTATGAATGATAAGGTTACACTTTAGTGGATAAAATAGGGCACACTGACCAAATCTGTTTTGAGCCTTAAATCAGAATGTGAATTTAAGCTGTTGTGGGCAGACAGAGTATCTGGCTGATCTAATGTCATTCGTAAAATGTGGTTTTAGGGCTTTTTTTGTCTGTTCTGGAGTGCTCAATACAGCTTTCACAGTGCTATCTCTGACCACCGGATGAACAGTTGGCGGAGTGACTGGCAGATAAATCCATCAACCCTGACAACAGCATCCACCTGTCAGGTTCGGACATAAGATTGTCTCTGAGCCACACCGAGCACACACTAAAATCAGAATGCTTACATAACCACATCATCTTCAAATTGCTGCTCTCAGCAGGTTGGTCGTCCGCACCTTTTTGCTTTTTCTTCAGAAACCTCTGATGGTGTCCAAAAGATGGTGTCAATTCAAGTCTTTGCATTCAGACTTTGTGCTGTGTGTATATTTGGTGCACTTATGTTGTCTTAGGCTTGGGATTATCCAGTTTAGTGCATTATTTATGTCACATTTCATGTGAGCCAGCAGACACAACACACACACACACATCTGCAGCCTGTGTTCACTCAGTTATGGACACTGATTCAGTCTTGGCTTTTAGAGCAGCAGGGAAGGAGATTAAATGTAATAAGTGGGCAGCTTTCCTCAGGGATGGTAAACTGTGCATGCATGCTAGTAGTATATCAACTCCCCAATTATTAAATGCCTTATTACCTAATGCATCTAAGAGTCCTGCATCAGTATTTGTGTTGTTTATTTCTTTGCAGTGTCTGTGCATTTATTCATATTGCATTTATAGCATACATCAGTGGCATTGGAGCTCCACTGTAGTGTGTCTGCTGGCAGGGAGACGGATGTGTTCTTTCCTCTTCCTGTACAGATGGTAGCAGTGTCGGCCACCTTTACAAATATTGCAATCAAACACTTGTTGGTTGTCAACCAGGTGAAGTGTAACAGTAAACATGAAAGTGTTCAATGTTGTTTTATGGTAAAAAGTATTTTTGGAGACGTGGAGGAATGTAGCAAAAAACAAGTGGTGATGTTTGTGTGTGTTGCAGGTGGCAGCCTGTGTTCTGTCCGTTAAACCCTCGTCTATGAAGCAGTAATTATGGGGAGAGCTGGTTTTCATCAGTAGTCTCTTTCCTTGGCTCAGACTGGACTTAAGTCTGCATTTGGAACCATACCAGCCCACAGTCAGCAGTTCCTACTGCGGGACCATGCAGTGCAGCATTATCATAATGAAAAGTTATTAATCTAATCCTACTACCACACACACACACACACACACACACACTGCTCTCAGTCCAGTTGGTGGACTGCAGGCATCGCTGCTGTCTCATAATGAATGATTGTGTGTCAGCTCTTTCATATTTCAACGAGGCCTCCCATTTAGTTTTTATGTGTGCACTCGAATAACTACATTTAAAAACTTCGGGGCTCTTTTCCAGGGGACTTCCAAGTTCTTGGAAATGAGTGCTGCATGTTCTCTTCAAGGTTACTTATCACATACACAAGATAGGGGATATATTGCTTCCTGCTGGATAGGAATTCACATATATTTCTCACTGTCGATCTCATAATTCTGCCCATGCAGGTCAAGGTGTTGTCTTACAGCTGAAGGAAATTGAGGTCGCCAAGATCTATACCCTCCTCCTCTCTGTGTTCTCTCCTTCTCTCTTTTATTCTTGTGCTGCCTTGTGTATATATGTTATTTTCCTCTTTTAGCTTGCTTGATCAACTCCCTTGAGGTAGTGAATTCATGCATCAAGGCATGATGTATCATGTTTCTGTGCACTTGGTAAGAACGTGACACTGGGGTTTTTTTGTTCTGTGTTGGCACTCTCTGCATGGTTCCTGTAGTCAGTACCGAGTTCTGCAGGCTGCTGCTGATTCTGTGTGTGCAGTGCGCCTCTGAGAAGCAAATCTTGTCAGCTGGTTTGAAATGCACACAACACTGCACAGAGATGCTGAGTTCCTGCCTGCATTTTAAAATATACGTTGTCTCTTTGTAGATCTTTCTCCATGATCTCATTGCACTGCACAGCCAGCAGAGGGCAGTCTTCCCCAGGTCTTTTATTCTCGCTCCATCAGGTCCTTAGGATGACTGAACACTGGTTTTACACTAATCACACCTACCCACAACTGACTTCACTGCTGCAGTACAGTAGGAATGCTGACTGATCTAATGTTGTCTGCTGCAGGGAATATGCTGTGAATGCACATTAATATTAGTATAGGCTACTCGATTTCTCTAGCCTTTCTCATAATTGGATCAATGTAGTTTTCTGGTGGTGTTGTTGGTGGAGACTGGGCCAAGAGTTGATTTAAAATAGCTGTGTACCCTCCAGCCTGCACATTAGAGGGTCTCACTTGTTGTTTCTTTGATGCTAAGAGATTTCGATGTCTGCTTCCTACCTCTCGTCACTGCTGTTTCCCTGAAGGTTACACAGGAAAACAGTCAGAGCTGCTTATTTACCCATCACACACGCGACTGCGCCTGTTTTTCCAATTAATTTGCGGCACGATGTCTTACACAGCTGCGACCATTAACGAAGCCCTGTGGCCGCATGCTTCTTTGTGTCTTCGTAGAAGAGTCCCTCTTGCGTCAGGATGATATTTGGACGCTGGATGGCGATGACCCTCAGGAGACCCTTTCACATGTTCCACGGCCTGATCACCTGGATTTCCTACGCATCACACCTCCCGAGGATGACATTATTGGGGATACTCCATATTATCCCAAGCTGGAATGCACGGTGAGATTTTTTTTTTAAAAATTATTTTATAAGCATTTGCACATAGATGCCAATTTATGAGTGATAGTCAAATATGTATATGTTATCAAATATGTGCCAGTATTGGTGTAATATTTCAGTACAGATGATATCGATATTGTTATCTAACATCCGGCTCATGAATCCTTACAAATGGGTCATGGATCCAAGTTTGTATTGGTACATTTCTTTATTCGTTTCTTACAGAAGCTAACAAAGAAAAAGGTGCTTGAAGTCATTTAGAAATGGTTACATTGCACAGTTTGTCCCGCAGAGCTGCTCCATCATCTAAAATACTCCCAGCATTATGTTTGCAGCACATCCATGCAGAGTGTAGCAGTGCTTTCACAAACCAGTTTTGCAAACGCATTGCTGTAAAGTTAAACAAATTCCTTTTTTTTGTAAAATGCAGCCAAATATCCGTATGAGGTGATGTTGGGCTTTTTGGCTGCTGTTAGTGTATTGTGGCATTTATCAGTGTCAGCGGCTGAAAAGTTGAAAATTGTTAATTTCTGTTTTATTATGAAAAAACATCTCTGATGAGCCTATCGTTTCCAGCCTTCAGTAGAGCTCTGATATACTTGGCAACTCAGAAAAATCCAGTTTCACACTTGACTGTTTCCACATCCAGAACAATGTTCTCCAGCAGTTACCCCCACACCCCACCCACTGGGGACTCATGGGGATTTGTGTCTACTCTGGCATCTAACCACCTGATCATGAATCCTTAGAAATGGGTCATGAATCCTAATCTGTAGACTGGAGTTCTAAACCAAAGCTGAGTGGGAAGCCTTCCACTTGAAACTCTCACATTAAGAGAAATGAAAGTGACTTTCAATTTCAGCCTTGGTATGCTCTTATATGTTCATGTTTTTAAGGTAATTGGTGACATTTTCCCATTAAAGAGAAATGGCAACACAAATTATTTTCCTGAGTATGTGAAATATGTAATCCTGTTGAACAGTGTGCGTCAGAACATTATATGTAAAACCTCTGGAGTACTTGAAGTGCTCCAGAGCAGAGACATTCCTGTGGGAGATTATCTGGGTGCGGTTTTAGGTGGGTAGTGTATCAGCTCAAGACATGCATTGTTTACTAATACACCATAACAGATCTGCCTGTGGGCATAATCAGATGGCATACCAGCATAAGGGCACGTTGCATATAATTAGGTCCTGTGTGTTGTTTTGAGTGACAGCATTATGTGTGGCGTGGCTTCATTGTCATTGGTTTATGGTATTAGAAAAACGCACCTCAGCTGTGCATAATGGCTTTTAGTGTGTGTACAGGTGAAAACACAAAGGCAGGGAGGCAGGGACACCACCCAGTTATGTGAATGGGGAAAAGTATTTTTATCTGTAGTGTTTACATGATATTCGGCCTGTAATCGCATATCAGTTCACGTCCCAGTGTCTGTCAGTGGGGCTCTTTCTAGCACAGCCAACCCGAGCAGCCTACTGTGGGGTGAAATGCCACTACTCTTACATAAAATAATGCCACAACCACAGAAGCGGTCACTGTTTGTAGTTTTCATAGCGCAGTGCTCGACACTTTACAAGGTTACTGCATGTGTACAAACAGTTTTTTGCACATATAGATAAACAAGAGAGAGAAAGTCCAGCAGTCTGAAGGAATGCAGGAAGGGGGACCTGTGGTTGCTAAGGAAACAGCAATTTGAACTTTCGACCCCACCACCTGCTGACCTTGATCCAAACCCTATAGAGCGTTTCTAACCAGTTTTAGGCTAACCAACATAGACGGTTCAAAGCCCAGAAAGTTGTTCATTTGTCCTGTTTTCAACTATTTCTACCTTATCACATATTATTAATAGAATGCTAGCATTACCTTGCAGCTAGCACTTTACAGTTTTTAAAAACCTCTTTAGAAACAGTGTTAACAAAGCTAATATTCCAGTTTGGGTCTAAATTGTCAGCACTCAGTACACACAGTGTGTTCATGCTCGCACTTAAGGTAGGTGAATAAAATCGCATTGCTTTCTTGCCAAATTCGGTCCCATTTATAAGCTGCTAATCATGTTAGCATATTAGCATATTAGAGCTGGCAGTGGTCATGCTGACTAATCTCATCTTTAGCACTTTGCTGCTGTAGTTCACTGCTTAATAGTGTAATCCTAGCTGGACCTCTGCTTCTCTGTACCTGACCACACAGTGACTGTTTTCTGCCTTATCTCACTAGCCATAAGGAAGTGAGCATGGGTAATCAGACACCTGTAGAGCAAGGCACTCCTCCCAGTAAGGGAGGGCCTGAAGGAAGGCATTCCCAGACTGGGTAGAGCAGTGAAGTCTGACAGCGTTTTCTCACACGGCAGCACACACAAGGTTTTGTTTTGTTTGTGAACCAAGACAGATCGACGCAAAAGAAGAGTCTCAGCTTGGAAACATTGTTCAAGTCACAGGTTTGGGATTGTACACCAGCACAGCAGAGACTCATGTCCTGCAGTTTTATGGGAAAATACCTCCCGACTCGCTGAACACTAGGAAATGCTATTGTGAAAGGCAGGTGAACGGTTTTCTCCTGCTGTCCCAGGGAGATTACAGCGGGACATGCTTCCAGCCACTGAACAGATTGACTTCACTTGCAGCGTCATGGGAATCTCGCGCGCAAGGGGGAGACTTGGCTGTACCTCTGAAAACAAAGGCAGTAGACGTCTTTATGTGAAAATAGTAAAGTCCACCACATGGAACCTGTGAGTGTGTCACTAAACAGGATTACAGGATAGTTTTTGTTATTGGCACCCTCCAGGAGAAGGTAAGAGGAGCTGTGGAGTTTTGTCCACACAAAGCCCTTTTGTTCCCAGCCAACGCCAGAGGTGGAATAGGAGCAGCTTGGCTAACTAGAGGTGGGGTGACAAACTTTTTGTGTGACATTTTAAACGGACAGTTTGCTGGAGCGTCTACTTGTGCTGGTTTGCATCTGCTCTTAGTTGGAGTAACAAAAATGGACAGCGCAAGTAGTGACTTATTTGAACAGGGCAAACAGCCCAGTCTCCGAGGTGTCTTGAGCACTTTCTTCACGCGGGATCGCTCTCCCTCTTCGGATGTGGAGTGTGCTGTGCTGGTCTCATTTAAAGAGCTTCCAGATGGGGAGACGTATGACGCTGAGGACAGTCAATCTGTTAACGCTGAGAACAAACTCCAAAGGAGGAAGGATTCGGCTCAGGGTGATGTGACTGCTACCGGTCGTACAGTGCAAAAGGTCGAATCATCAATCAGCGACTCTGGCGAGCAGGTTAAAGCAGCAGCTGAAGCCCCGCTTGACCCAGATCTGGTCCAGGTCACTAGGGTGGAAACGCATAGTGACAATGAAAATGAGGACGACGAAGCGGCTCATGAGGTCAAGAAGTCTACTCTATCGGAGGAGGACGGTAAAAAAGTAGACCAAGAGGACGGAGATGCCAATGAAGCAGCGCTACAAGTGCCCATGTTTAGAACACACAAACGTACAGAGAGATCCCGCGTAGAGGCTATGTTATATTCCAGCAGGTTTGCTGGCAGAAGTATCTCTAAGACAGTTCAGCTTTCTTCACTTTCCAAACAGAGAACAGACTACACTCCCAAGGAAAGTGCAGAACCATTGGTTGCTGGAGATGTGGGAACAGGTGAGAGTGAGGAGTATGATGGAATAGATTGCTCTGAACCAGTTCCCTCAATAATCTCTGGGAATCAGTCTTTGGAATCTGCAGACAGTGATGCTGATGTGGCTTCTCCTACAAGACAGACGGACGGTACACAAGAGGAAGAACCAGCTGAGCAAACGGTTGAACTTCGTTCTAGCCAGATATCCTCCTCTGTTCCCTCCAGCCCTGAGACTCATAAAGCCTCGGTCCCAACATCCTCTCCAGAGGAGCAGTCAGACACTGGCTTTAAAAAACCCTTGTCGCCATCTTCTCCATCTAAAAAGACTAAAAGTGACAGCCAGGCAGTTTCTGGTCCAGATGCTAAGCTAACAAAAACTCCTAAGACAAGCACATCATCAGCTTCGTCCACCTCATCTCCATCCAGAGGTGCAGAAATCTCTTCACCACTGTCCTTTCAAATGCCTGCTCTATTCAGTGGTTTGCGGGTGCTGAAGAAAGGAGGGGCAGGGGAAGATAGGGAGGTTGTGTCAGAGATCAAGCAGAGGGAGAAGGATTCTGAGCTGGCTCTGCTTAACCTCAAGAAGTCTGTGAACAAAGCCAAGCTCTTCCCTGAACAGAAGACAGGCTCTCCTATGAAAAAGTACACTGAACCTAAATCTATTACAGAAACTAAAAGCACCATAGTGGGACAACTCAGTCATCTGCTTAAGCTGGACAATGATGACCCAAAAAACTCAGTCAATGGGCAGGAGGGAGATTCTTTAGGAAGCAAAAAAGAGTCTGCAGAAGGAGAAGTTGTTTCAGGAGCAAAAACTCCAGAAACTCCAGCTTCCACTCTTGAGAGAAAGACGACCTCAGACATGGCCTACGAAACCTTCAAAAACCTCCTCGGGCCCAGGACCACCAAAAAGGAGAAGACAGAAGCTGTAGATCTGGAGGCGGTGAAAAAGAAAATAAAAAACGATAAGGAAAACCTGAGGTCGATATTTGAGAGAACCACCAAATCTCCTGGCAAGGAGGTCAAAAGTCCCAAAGAAGCTATTGTATGTAGTTACACAATTATTATATTTGAAGTCACATGTACTGTTGAATTTAAGTCTTAAGACTTTATTTCATGTCTTTATAATAAATACATAGCTTAAAGATTTTTGTTTCTTTGTTTTCTTCCCATAGACAGAAGTCACGTCTCCTACAGACAGTGAGGACCGGACTCCAGGGCGTCTTCAGGCTGTGTGGCCACCACCCAAACCCAAGGATGAAGAAGAGAAGGTGGGGCTCAAGTACACCGAAGCAGGTAAGAACCACAAGCTTGTAGGCTTAGGCTACGTCCACACTAATGTGTTTTCATTTGAAAACGCATCCGTTTGGCCTCCCGTCCACACTGAGGCGGCGTTTTCGCTGATGGAAAACGCAGCGTTTTGAAAACGCATACATTTGAAAACGGTGCTTTCACGTCGCAGTGTGGACTGGACAGCGAAGACGGAGACTTCCTAAAACGATGACGCATTTCAGTCATAAGATGCAGTCATGTGACCAATTTAACCTAGATAGCGGAGGGCGTTGTACAGCACTTGTTTTGTTTGCTCTCAATTTTGACAGTCTGTAGATGCTCCAGAGAGCTTTTCTTCAAATTCTTTAATTCTCGCTCGCTTTTGCAACTTTGTACTTTTGTGTTTCTCGCAGCAACAACTCCACCTCATTGTTAGTCCATTTAAAAAACTCGCTGCTTTTCTTCAACATTTTGCTGCGATATTTCAAAGAGACAGAAAGTAAATAAGCGGCAGACAGAAATGAGGCAGGTTGAGTCTTCTTGCGTTTCACGCATGCACAGCACTGGAACGTGAGCGTTTTTGGCCGTTACAATGTGGACGTGCAACTCTGTGAAAATGACTGAAAAGGATGGTGTTTTGTCTGAAAACAGTGTTTTCAAATCTATGTAGTGTGGACGTCGCCTCAGGCGGTGCTGCCTGTATTTACACTTAAAACCAGGAATGCTGACTAAGAGTCACACCAGCTAAGCTTACACCAACAGGCCTCGCGCTGATTAGCCTTGTAAATGTTGTCAATGTTCAACTTTAAAACCCAGAAACAAAGACAGCACCCCTATCATCTAACCCTCGAATGCTCACGCTTTACGTGTCTGAGATAAAAGCTTCAGTGTCGGTGTGTAAGACCTTTCATCTAAGAGCACGATGAGGCTGTGTCTGCACCTTAATGATGCCATTTTTTGTTGTTATTGCACCACAGGGCACCATGTGTGGCTCAAAGTGGAGAAGGGGAAAAATGAGGATTGTCCTGGCAACTTGCCGTGTTTAGCCTGATGTGTTCTTTAAAAGGTGCAATGACACACACAAGTTAAAGGTGATCAAATCACAGCAGCAGTGCAACAGATGTTGGCTGTTCTCCGTGGTGTAGCTTCATCCCAGAGAAAGACTAGCTAAAATGGATTATTCCAGTGCAGTGATCTGGGTCCCGTGTTCCAGCTTTGCTCTTGTCAAATACAGTAGTGTGTGTGGAATTTAAGAAGCAGAGCAAAGTCCAGGCTATAAGCCATATAGACTGTATAAACCGTGCATGCAATCATATCTTTAAAGTATTTGTTAATTTACAGACTCTGGAAATGAAGTCTTTATGTCACTGATGAGAGCCACAAATCAATCCTTTTTTTTTCTTTTCTTGCAATCAAATTGGCGCATAATGTATACTGCAAGTGCTTTGTGGGACTTTTTCCACTGCTTAATGCACCTTGGAAGTAGGTGAAGTTACAGACCTGTACTCCTCAAATTGGCGTCATAAAACGCCATAAATGGCATGTAGTGTTTAGGGTTAGTTGTAGTGACTAACAAACAACTAACTTCACAAA